AAAGATCTTAAATAAACAGGAGTATTTTAACAAGGCTTTCAATTAAAATTCTGTTAGCTTAAAGAGAACAAATGTATTCTGTTGGAATTGTTTATGTGACTACCAATATTTTAAACTAAAAAAAAAAGAAAGGAAAAAGAGATAAATTTGAAGATCTGATTTCACTTAACAGTTTGTTAGGACATCAAATACATATCCTTTAATGAAAATTAATATGCTGTAGTTTAATAATTCATGTTCTTGCATTGGAAGCCCTTTAATTTAATGGAGTGCTGTTCATTTCACCACATTCATTGCTGAGGTAGGTTGGTATTTTTCCATGAAGGTCAGAAGTGTGCCATTCCTTCCTGCAAGCCATGGATTTGATCAGATGTTAAACTTTGACATCTCCAATGGTCCATTCAGGTCTGACTCAGCAGGGTATTACACATTTTCAAGAACACTAGAATAGCAGGAAACTTCTAGGTGTCTGTTCTTTCAGGATCAAAAGCAACTGTATTATGCATTTGTGATCATATATTTATAAAACTTTGTATTCCCTCCTCAGTACTTCTGTTGGAAATGAATTCCTCTCCTCTGGGGACTAGAAACTTTTCTTCTAATCTTATGCCAAAATTTATATCCATTAGTTATTACTCCAGTGTATTCCTTTCACTTAAATCATTACACTCACTCTGAAATTACAGAAAACACTGTACTAGGCTGAATAAATTGAGCTCATATATATTTCTGCCCAATTTTACTGTACTAATACCTTAACTTGATTTTTCTCTAATCACAATATTTTTTCTTGATGGATGAGAAAGAGATTTATTCATTAAAACTGTCTTATTACGTCTGATGTAGTAACAATTTGAAAACAACTGAATGAATATTAAAAAAGAATAATTTAAAAATCCAGTGGATTTTTCCTCTAGACCTCAGACTTCCTTCTAGTTCCATGGTAAGAAATACACTCTCTTGCTTCTGCATCATTTTTAGTAACTGACATGAAGATTCAGACCAAGACTTGAGATTCAGACATTTATCAACTGGGAAGCTGGTTAAGTAGATACACAGATCTCTCAGTGTTGGAAAGGCTTTTAGGTATAGCTCCTCTGGTCTGCACATTATCCTGTTCTCTGTTATTGCACACCATTATCTTCCAGACTTGAACACCCATCCTAGGTATAAGCTAAGTCCTTTCCCTCCTTTAATTCTTGTTTTCTCCATTCCCTCATTTTCTGCCTGATTTTCCACTAGGACAAATGCACTTGTTAATTCAGCTTATATTTCACTGTTGGTTTTGTTCCTCCGTTGTCATTTACCTGTCCTCCTGTCATGTACAATCCTTCTCTCTAGGTTTTTTTCACATATTGGTGGATCATGATCATCTCACTTGATACTTTTGTCACCTTCTTTTCAAATATTTTCCTGAAGTTTGGTATTTTTTCTAGTTGCATCTTCAGTACTTAACAGTTCTCTTCTGTGAAAAATGCAATTTATCATGTATAAATAGCCTCAATCAGATGGCCACTCAAAAATAATAAGCTTCCAGAAGTTTTTCCTTCCAGTTATCTTCAGTTACCCTCTCTTCAGGCTTTTTCTATTGCTGCATTAACAGAAGCTATTTTTTCTCTTCTCCTTAAATTCACTGCTTGAAGGAGGAAAAAAACCAAGCATCTCTTTACTGATCTTCAAGATTTCTATCTTGTTTGCTAGCCCGCATCACTTTTACTCTTGAGCTTTTGTTGGGTCAGTCCTGCAATCTAATTGTCATTTGGCAGCTATCTGTCCATAAGCCCAGAGTAGAGGCAGAGAATATATACACACTATGTGATGAAAAACATCTGAACAAGCACCTACTCCTTCCAAAAGGACTAAAGAGCCAACTAACAAAGAAAAAAGTCTCTTCTGGCCTTCACAGAGCATAAAACATCCTGCTAATTTTTACTAGGCCACTCATGGCTTCCAGATCTTCTGTGTCAACGAATAAAAAATTCTTTCTTATACAGGACAACTCCTCTAAATTAAATAATAAATTTTGGATCCATCATATGTCCATAAAATCCAAGCAAATTCTTTCAGTCTATATTAAAACACTCCCACTTTGCAGATTTCCTTCTCTCCTAATGACTCGAAGAAGAGCTGGAACTTGTTGGCCTTCTCTGCAGTTATGTTCTTGCACTTTTAGTTCTGCATTACTGAACTGATTAAACTTCAAAAAGTACCATCATGCAGTTTATCACCACAGTTAAACTGTGTCTGCAGATTGTCATCAAATAGATACATAGAGCCACCTCTCTCAAGTTAGCCTTAGAAAATATTTCTGTAGCATAGTGCCAAATAACCTGTCACCATAATTACAAGATAAACCTGCATTGCACTGTTTTGTATTTAATTGTACTTGATGTGGATAAATAAACCAGAAAAGTAACATGGAGGGAGACTGAAAAATTAATATCATATCCCTGTGCTATATCAGCAAGAGCTAAACAAAACACATCAATAACAGTTAACAACAGTGGCCTGGGCCATCTGGTCAAAGGCCCATATTACCAACATTTTATTAAAGTATTTTAATCTCGCTATTTTCCCTCAGGAATAAGGGGAAAAATTCAAAAGCTTAAGTTCTGCTAAAAGGTGAGATTTCTCTACCTACAAGCACAGCATATCTATGATAGTTATTTAATTAAGAGATTCCCTAATGAAGGGAGTGGAACTGGTAGGGCAATAAACTCATTCCTAAGTGGGTGTGCCAGAAAGCCAGTAACAGCACAAAGAGCAACCACTACACATGTATTCCTTGCTAAGCTAAATACTAATTTTAATTTTTGAAACTAATTAAAGCAAATCAATTTTTTCATTTGTCCAGTGCAATAACTGCTTCCTGATTTATATTACCAAACCTTAATGAAGTCCTCCAAAATCCCCATATATTTTTGCTTATGCTATTGTTTTCTAATTGTCAAATGAAACTTCATTAATTGTTCTCCACTGCTCTCCTATTTTTGCATATGCCCTGCTCCCACCTAAGTTTTAATAAACAGTTCAACTGTTGGTGGCTGCTGCAATCACTTCCAAACAACCTTGTGCATTTCCAGGCAATGTAGCATGGGTTGGAAAGCTAGAGGCAGTCAGGACAGATGAATAAACTACATTGGTAATTTGCTAAAGAAAGGGAAAATAACACACTCAGTGCAATCAGAAACTTAACTTTTAAGTGGACATCCAAACCAGACCACATGATGGTATCAAACAGAACTAGTCACATCTGAAATTATCACTATCCTACATTTCACTCTGTTAGGAAAGCTTCACATTCCTAATGAGCAAAAAATGAAACATTGCAGTAAAAAAGATGAAAGAAATACAGAAGTCAGAACTATTTTTCTCACAGGAAGATGTGTGGTTACTCCCCTCTCACTCCCCAACTTGTGAGTACTTGCAAGCCCCTGCAGTATGAACCAAACTCTACTGATGACATCACAACAAACTGACATAAGTCCTCCACCCTAGCTGCTGACAGTTATGTGACAAAAGTTTGATCCATCATCTGCTTTATCTTGTTCTTCCTTCTCATTTTTTCAATTCTATTACAACATGTGAATTATCCATTCTCTCTGTGTTTTCTCTTTTCCCCAAAACACTATAGAAACCACCGCTACTTAATACTTCTGCAACGTACCTTCACAGTGATTACAGCAGACCACAGACAGCAAGTTGAAAATAAATTCATGTGGAAGAGGAAATAAATGTGGTGGAAGCAGACAGGTATAAATAAATCCATAACAAAAGAAGAAAGACTGTAATCTGTGATTTAATTCTCTCACTGAGATAAAACTGCAAAGCAGCAGTCTTAAAAGTTAACTATTTATGACTAATGTGTTAGTCAAAAATTTAGTTATTATTGTTAATTCTCAAACAGTGAAATATGAAGTGAAATGTTCAGAAATAGCTTTAGAAAGTTTGGGACATATTAAAAAATACTTCAGAAAGATAGAAAAACTTACAGAAATTTATCAGATTGGTATAAATTTTTGATGGGTAAAGGGGAGAAAATGAAATCTTTATATATTATTCTTTCTTTTTACTAATAGGAAAACAAACATTCCTAATTATCAAAGTAATTGCTCAGGTGTCAGCTGGCTAAGTTACACATAGACTGTAGAGTAAAATTCTGCCCTCAAGCTGTGCATTTAGCTCCAGTGATCATATAGGTGGGAACCAGGAACAGACTCCACAGCTCTATAGCTGTCATATCATTAATATAACTACTGAAGTCAGAGCAATGCGTAAGGGCCCCTGCTTTAAAACTGCCAACATTAAAAATATATTAACGTACTTATAACTTCTGATGCCTAAATGGCCATTCAAACAACTATTGGTATTGCAGTTTTAATTATCTTGTACATACAAGCTGTTTATCTGAAGTTCTGGAAAAGTGGCTTATAGAACTGTCATTTATTTGGTTACCTGCAAAACCAAGAAAACACCTTTCCACTCCTATGTTAGACCTTTTCAAACAAAAAAAACCAAACTGAAAACATCTACAAAGACTTATTTTGTCTTTGGACACTAGAAATTAACTAAGGAATTAAATAAAGATGGTTTTACATGTAATACCTTATGAATTTCTTCTAGGTCTTGAGAATACAAAGATAATCCACACTATGCAGTAGGATATTCACCATAACATTCCTGGCCTGGACTTCAGCCCAGTCTAACACACAGATACACAGGTAGGTATCAACACCTACTAAAGAAAGCAGCTGAATGGAAACATGTATCTCTGATTAATGCTTTTTACCACAATGTATGCTTTTAATGTTTGCCATGAACACAAAGCCATATTCATCTGTCTATGTAATAGAGACAGAAAAACAGTCTTCTCTGTTCACTTTCATGATTCTTATTGTTTTATGAGATATTACTGCCAATATGATAGGCATTGCAAAATTTTAAGACAAATAGATCAATTAATTGATATTAAACTTCAAACCAGTTCTTTGCTGACTTACCTTGCCAACAGATTTGGGGAACGGTCCTCTTTGATTTTCAGGAACTAACACTGGAGATGCCAAAATAGCCCTTTTTTGTCTTGGAAATCCAAGGTTACTTTCTATCTTAAGGATTTCCTAAAAAAGAAAATGAACAATTACAAAAATTTTCAAAATAATGTTCAGTTTTTATTTCCATTCCCTGAATCCTTAACATGAACTACCAGATTCCAAGTTTTGTGTTTAATGTTTTCCAGCAACTAGTGATAACATATCAAACTATTTATTTAGATCTGTCAGGTTACTGGAGTTACTACAGTGACGGTCAACAGACCATGTTCATTTTGTGTTCCTGTAGGCTACTTTTAAACCTAAGCAAGTGTGGCTACCATCGTAACCTGACAACTGCCTAAGTTATAAATCTTAAACAAGGTGTGTCTTACCTCAAAAACTTGTACGACACCTGTAAAAAGCCATACTTCAAGTGTCTTTCACATCTCAAGTTGCATCTATACTTGATTGCTTTTCAGTCCAGGCTTTTAATCCCACAGAATTTACAGGTGAATTTGCTGAGACTGTCCCCAGCTAATGAACTCTCAATAAACACCAAAGACTTGTAAAGTAAAAATAAAAATAGACACCAAAACCAAGGTGTAGTTTAGAATATCAACTAGTAGGCTTGTTTTTGATTTGGATGTTTTCATTTGGGGGTGGGGTTTTTTTTGTCTTGTTTTTGGTATGGTTGATTGTTTTTTTTTTCCTTAAAGAAAACTTCATGCTATCGTATCAGAAACAACAACAGTAGAAATGGTTTATACACAAGCCTTCTTTTTTCTGCTGCGTTTTCTGGAGTATTTAGTTCTAACTTAGCTTCAGGCACTTTATGAGCTACAGCAAACTCTTCACATTGGCCTCTGGCCCCTAGAAAACTCTGCCCGTCACACCTTTACCTTCCCTCCCCTTCTGCTTTCTGATCCTCTCAGTTCTTTCTCTGCATGAGCTGCATTTTCTCAGAGACCACCCTCTTCCTTTTGCTTCCTCCTGCCATCTCTGCAACTCTTTTCTCCAAGCACAGTTACTACCAAGGTCCTCATCTTGGTAGAAACAACCTCACCCTTACTCCCAGAACAATTCCCTTGATCCAGCTCCTTCTTGGGAAACAAAACAAAACCAAATAAACAAAAAGTTTCACTACCATAACAAACATCAGGCACAAATCTGTAATGTGCTGGGAATTATGAAACTAAAGATATGAATCACTACTATTCATCCAGGCTGTTGTGACAGTTTTACAAAAGAAATCCTAGGTTAATTAAATGCCTAATTCCAGTAAGGTAGTTACACCCTACAGATAACACTTTTCTCTGCTCTCTTAATGCAGAAGCTCCGAAAACCTAAGCTGCTCAGTCAGTTCTGGAATACATGTTGCTGTTTTAACAGTTGCTATTTTATTACAAAAGGAGAGCTCCATCCCTTGGCTGTATTTTTATAAAACTGCAAAGTTGAATGAGCTTTCTTGGTGGCATGATCTGGATATCGATCAGTCAAAAAATCCACAGACTGCCCCTGCTGCCATCAATATGGGTGTCTCCCACCTAACGAGCCTATCATCACCAAAACACTGCTCTACTAGCTTTAGCATCCCTCTTCAAAGTTGACAACAGCAGCAAGAGAAACTCAGGTTTTCAACAGTTAGCTTTAGTCATGATAAAGTCAAAGAGTAGTGGGAACCAGCAGAGAATCCCTTCACACTATTTTGCCAATTTTCATAACTTCTTGAGGCTCACCCAGATAACAGAGTTCCCATCTCTCCCAAAGGCTTTGCCACTTCTCTCTAATCTTTCAGTCTACAGGCCACTTGGGTCCCTATTTCTGTCTTTCGATTCCTCTCCCAAAGGAATCTTCCTTAATAAAAATTCATGAGAAAGTTCAAGATAAAAACATTTGAAGTGTCAAATAAAAAGGAAAGGGCTGAATTCTTTCCAAAGGCAAATGCACCGAGCAGTAAGCTTTCAAAATCACTTATACTGTAAACACAGCAGACAGTGTAGCTGGCATGTGTCTGTGACATTTGTAAGGAGAGTAAAAGTGACTACCAGTGTGTCTAAAAGGAACTATCATTTCTTTAGCTCAGCAGCAGCAGCAGTGCTCAACTGATTGCAATTTTCACTCATGCTAACTGCTACCTTTATGGTTGCCCTTCAGCTTGTGAAAACGCAAAGAAGAACTCTGAGATGCAGGATTTTTGGAAATGGGTAAGACATTCAGATTTACATCTCCCTGTGGTTTGGATTGGAATGGACCTTCAGAGTTCATCTAGTCCAATGCCCCTGCAATGAGCAGGGACATTTTCAACTAGATCAGGTTCCTCAGAGCCCCATCCAACCTGACCTTCAATGTTCCATTTTCATTTCCTTACTAGTTTGAGGAGTAAAAGGAATTTTCAGATTATTCAATATCCATCTCTCCCAATTTTGGTAGTCATAGACACATATGCAATTAATTCATCACTTTGTTATGACAGGTTATCGTCACACTTTCTCAGAAGGTCCACAAATGGAAGTAAAAACCAAATTATATTCAGTGGTCAACACTGCAGTTATTAATACAAATAAGTGAAGTTCGAAACAAAAGCAGGGTGGTAAGACTTAAGGCCTTCAGATCCATGTTTCTGGGAAGGACTTTGGAATGAAGAAAAGTCAAAATAGTATTATTTGGGTTTTTTTCTAAAGCACAAATAGTCTGTTTCATGGAAAGGAAAGTTTCTGCAGACTGGGAACAGAAATGTAAGCACTTCTCTGAGTATGTTTCACACTGTTTATTCTCCAAATCTTAATACTGTTTTTTAAATAATGATTTCTCTATGATTCCTCACTTTCTCCTCATCCCCTGGTGTCTAACAGCAACGTGATGTGATTAAATGAACAGCCAAAAGCATCACTGTGGAATGCAGGTAAAGAGAAAGAAAGACAAGGTCAAGAGTACTTTACCAACACATTTAATAATTCACTGCTGTTGTGGTTACCATAATGATTTCCCCATTTCTAAAGAACAGGGAAAAAGAAAGGATATTTTGCTTAATTTCAAGCACCTGCAACTGACAGTTTAATCCTCAAGCCGTATATAAGACAGAAGTCAAGAAACCTGTATTTCTATGTGCGCTTAGCACCCGATTCAACAATTAAAACACTGAAAAGATTCTCATTTATGGTGGATATATTGCATATGTAATAATTCTTACTCAATTCACCTATTTAATTTCTTGATGAAGCAACTCACAAAGGATATGAAATCACTCTAGACAGAGTTGGTAATTTTGCTTCAAATCTTCTTTGAATACCAGGCTAGTATTATAACAGGAGTCTTCTTTTACCCCTTGTCACAAATGAAACCCACAAAGGAGTTTTCAGTTATCTTTGCTGGAATCTGATGATCAAAGGCTATAGTACCTACAATGCCTTTATAGCAGCCACAACTCCAGACAAGTATTTATGTGCCAGGAGACTGGAAAGCTTAGAATGGCATGTCCAAGGTGGGTGGTATTGAACCAGCACCCAGGGAGCTTATGGCTGTGATTACCATCCGTTCCTCTCATGCCTGCTGCTTTGTATAACAAAGAGTAACCTCATGTCCAGAAACATCAACCACTGGCAAAATTTAAAATCTAAAATATATATACATTATAATGAATATATGCCACCTTAAGAAAAGTGCACCAAGAATAAAAATTCTAGATTTCTGATTTTTTTTTTTTTTTTGTAAGACAAAAGGGTAGGAGAGAAATCCTACCATTTCTTTGTCTTTGCTACTTAGCTCCAGGCTGGGCAGAGAAGTGATTCAGAGCAGCCTTACAGAGAAGGACTTGGGGGTGGTGGCTGATGAGAAGCTTGACACGAGCCGGCTTCAGTGTGAGCTCGCAGCTCAGAAGGTGAACCATATCCTGGGCTGCATCAAGAGAAGCAAGACCAGCAGGTCAAAGGAGGTGATCCTACCCCTCTACTCTGCTCTCGTGAGGCCTCACTTGGAGTATTGTGTACAGTTCTGGTGTCCTCAACATGAAAAGGACATGGAGCTGTTGGAGCAAGTCCAGAGGGCCTCAAGGATGATTAGAAGGCTGGAGCACCTCCCTTATAAAAAGACAGGCTGAGAAAGTTGGGGCTGTTCAGCCTGGAGCAGAGAAGGCTGCACT